AAGAGAATGAGAATTGAAAACTGATTGTAGGTGAATCAAAACGGAGTTTTTAGGACGTTATTTATAGAGAAAATCAGCCAAAAGATAAAATTAACAAACAGAGCACTTGGCCTACGTGAAACAGAGCTGACGCCAGCACCAGCTGATTGGCGCCAGGCGCCAGGCCTAGCTCCAGGCGCCAATGCCTGGCGTCAGACGCTAGTCCTGTTTTTGACGCGTTTTCAAAAATCATATAAGTTTGCCGTACTCGAGGATAAAATCGTATCTTTTCCTCGAAAATGGTTTTTGATTTTAATTAAAACTCTGAAAAGTCAACAAAAGTCAATTTATCAATGCTAATTGAATTAGGAATGAAAAGAACCTTCTAGAAGAATCTAGAAGACTAAAACCATTCCTAATTGCATTAGGAATGATAAATCATATTAGGCCCTCCCCTAGATCATTGGGTCGTACATAAGGCTCAAACCAGGCCAAGTTTAGTAAATTGGCCATAACTTCCTCATATTCATCGGAATTGGGCTTATAATATATCATTGGAAAGCTCTTGTCAAGCCCCATCCAACTACCCTATTATTGGACCCATATCATGGACCAACCAAACTAGATTGGCTGTTTTCTTAAAATAAGTTTTCAAAAACAGAGAGAAGAGAAAAGAAATTAAAACTATCCGCAACACTAGACTTTCCACACTTTCGCTTCATTCGATTATGATTCGACGTCAAAGGTACTCATCACTGGGTTTGGTTTTGGGGAGACACATTTGGGTGTCTACACCAACTGTCTACTACTCAAATCTAGACTTCATGATATTCGTCTAGAAGAAGGTAAACCGCTTAAGTCTTATTTAGATGAATTCTTCTCTATTATTATGGATTTGCAAAACATCGATGTTGAGATCGATGATGAGGATATAGCTATTAGGTGTTGTGTTCTTTATCACCTACGTTTAAGAATTTTCGAGATACTTTATTGTATGGTAGAGATGATTTGAGTTTGGAGGATGTTAAGGATGCCTTAACCCAAAGAGATTTAATTGACAATAAATTGGTTAATAAATCTAATAATCCGGCTCAAAATAATGCTTTAAATGCTCATGGTGGTAATAATAATTTTGGTAAAGGAAAAAGCTTGTAACAATTGTCATGTGAAGAGTCATATCAAAACCGAGTGTTGGAAATTAAAGAAGAAGAATGAGGAGAAGTCCAATGAGGACAAATATGCAAATATGGCTAACAACGATGATGATTATGATTAGCACTTTAGGGTTACGAGCTTTGGGGTTGCGGTTTCTACACTCTTTTCATGATAAGTTCCCCTTTGAGATCCCATGATAAAACGAGAAATCGTGTGGATTTTTGGTATGGAGTATATGATAGATTGTTTTTTATTTTTGCTTGTAATAAAGTAGCAATCTTGGTTATGCATTAGATTTTGTTCTATTTATGCTATTTCTTATCTCAATTTTGGTACTTTTATGATTTATTTAGTACAATTGCAATTTGAAAATTCTTGATGTAATTTTTATTTTTCTAGAATTGCTTAAGTTTTTTAGTTTGATTTTTTGAGATGAAGAAGTGTTTGAAGAGAGTTTGGTCAATTTTGATAAGCATGCTTGGCGTCGGGACATTATACTCTCAATCTAGGCCATGTGATGGTTTTGTGTACGGAATTTTGTGTTCGGAGACGCACCGGTTCACAAGTTATGGAACATGTCCGTTTGGTGATAGCCTAATGTGAGTAGGCTTATGGAGTTTATGTTTAAGGTGGAGGTTTTATGTTTTATTATGAGCATTACTTCTTGGTTTTTGGTTCAAGGTGGAGTTACCTTGTTTTTTTGGTCAATTTCAAGTCAAGGTGAAGATTGTTAAATTGTGACTCAAAATCTAGTAGGGCTGTTTTTGAACGCTTATATTTCTCAAACTACAACTGATTTTGAGGTGATTCAAGTTGGAGGTGGTAGATTGGTTCAAGAGCTTTCCAACAATAGGTCATATGCCCCATTCCAATAAAAAACGAGAAAGTTATGACCGTTTTACGAAAATCTGACGAAGCTGGAAATTTGCAACGAGGCTGCGAGCTATAGCTCTATGCGAGTGAGCTATAACTCGGCCCTATGAGGACTTGCGGCAGGCATGAGCTAGCTGTCGATCTATAGCTCGGTAGTTAGGTTATTCTAGGATAATTTATGGAATATTTCCTAAAATTATATCTTTTCTATGACGGCTATTTGAATATACTTGGGGAACAATTTTAGGGTTTTATTAGGGTTTCCTTGTGTTATAAAAGGACCCTTTAGTTGATCAATTAAATCATAACTTTTGAGCCATTAGATTTAGGACTTCTTGTATTATTCTCTTGTTTCTTTCTCCATTATAGTGATCTCGAATCCCCCACCCGTGGATGTAGGTTTATTTTGATCGAACCACGTAAATCCTTGTGTTCTTTGTATATCTTCTTTCTTGTTTTTCTCGTCCTTAATTTTATTGACTTGTTCCGCATTAATCAAGTACAATTACACCCTTATTTCCTAACAAAGAGGATACCAAGTACGAGTGTATTATTAGTCCTAAAATAATTGCAAATTTTAGCATTGCAAAGTCAACCTTTGTATATTTTGGACCTTATTGGTTTAAAAATCATGTGGTACTATACAAGTATAAACATTGTCAAATGATACCATCTAAACTATCTTTGATAAAAGATTAGAGTAGACTATTTCAAACTATATTTTTGTTTTAGATGTTTAATAGCACGATTGGATGAAACTAGCTTAGTTTGAAAGATGGTATCAACTATCCTAAATGTGGAAAATATTCGCATCTACATAATTTTAAATGTTGTTTGACAACATCGGCAAATACAGATAAAAAGGAAAATCTAATTTGTTATGGGTATATACTATATATTATACTTCCTCTATTTTAATTTAGTTGCAACACACCTTTTGGGCACACATTTTAATAAAGATATTAGACTAGGTAAATAGATAAATTAATTTACAAAATTTTACCACCTATAAGAAGAAAGGGATAAGTTGCTACTGTTTAAATTTTATAGCTTAATTAATTTGTTTACCTAATTTAATCACCTCCTTAAAAAGCGTGATAAAAGTTGTGTTGCAAGTATAAAAAAACACAAATTTTTTAAAAAATCGGGTGTACAATAATTATTATACATCCATTATAAAGATAACCTAAAGTGATTAAAAGTTACCCCTGAAATGAATAAAAGTTACCCCAATATGCGTTAAAGTAACCCAATTCAAATAAAAATTATCTACGCTTTATTAGTAAAGAATCACATTTTAAATGACTAAAAATCAATTATTAGTGATTGAATGTAATTAAATTACCTTTATAAAACTTTTCTTGTTGTTGATTTATATAAAAATTGTATTATGTTTAAAGTTACCCAAAAAAACAAAAAATTACCCTTAAATTAGCTAAAAATTATCCTTATACTGCTCAATGTACACTAATATTAGTGTAAACAGGATTTATACAAAAGTTTTTGATAAAAAAATCAGAGGAAGTATATAATACTCATATAAGACTCCGCAAAATGGCCAATGTAGTAAGGTCCTATTCATATTTGGCCGGTCATTTTATCAAGTCATTTCAGCTCAATCAAAGCAGTTTCGATTTTAATCTAATAACTTTTAAAATAATATAAATCATTTATGCATGTCAACCAAACCATATGCTCATATACTGGTATTTAAATCAAATCGAAGAGTTGAATCTGTACCGTGTTTGTTAAGAATTTGTGTAAGTGGAGTAAAATTTAAAGCATGATTCACAAACAATAAGGTTCAAATATTGGAGATAATAGGAAAATTGGCTGTATAATGGAGATAATTGAACAGTTGGTTCCAACTATCTCGTTTTTCTTTTCCTATTAAATTGATTTTTTTCATGTATACTACTCTGGGAATCTACATGTAATTAAATAACATTGTTGATGTAACAATCAAAGCCTTCACCAATTCAAATATGTATGATGTATAAACATTCAATCATTAAAAATAAAAGTAGATGTATAATTCGTATTAGACAGGCAACTTGTTTTATTTTTTAGTTCGTATTTGTTTGTCAACTTTTTTTTAATGTTTTATGAGGCCTATAAATACCATAAGCTAGGGTCTTGCAATGTGCATCAACAACAATTACAACGTTTTGTTAGTTTGCAATCTTTTACGCATTATAAATACTCTTTTAAGGTAATTTCTTCCTTTAACCTTTTTATTGTGTTCTTTTAGAGGGAATTCATATTTATCTCCTCGATAAACAGCTGATGTTTATCCGGGGTTATTATCATAAGTTTGTTGGGAATAGTAAGGGTATTGATGTAAAATTCCCACGCACTAAAGTTGACAGCCGTTTTGACTGTTAACCCTGGATAACCCAAGGTAAAACTAAGGTTGGTTAACCACAATAGAGGAATGAAGAGAGGAGAAGAGAGAGGAAACCCGCAACGACCTTAGGACCTTAGGATCTTCGTCGTTGGTTAAGTCTGAAAGGCGTAGGAACTTCAGGCAGGCGGCGGCGAGTTTACGACCTTCAGGCGTGGGCGATTGTGGCGGTGGCGGTGGCGTGGGCGATTGGAGTCGGTCACGGTTGAGCAAGTGGCTGCGCTATCCTGTAAGTTACTCAAAGTTTTCTATCGATCTTTTATTAGTTTTGATCGGTTTTGTATTTGATTTTGAACTTAATCTCAGTTACGTATTCAATGAAAACTAGAGATTTTCAATTTTGATAATGAATTTTTTGTAATTAGATTTTCGATTTCAATTTGTTGTAATTAGATTTAGCTCATCTTCATCCCCTATCTGTGATTGTTGAACAAAACGTTCAAAAAAGTGAAAAAAAGTTGTCACGTGCAGCTCTGCAACTAACCATGGTTAACATCGACCTAACTCCGTCAAAAGAGGCTTAGCTGCCGTTAAGACCCACCTTCCACGTTTCATCTGACACATGTGCTTACTTTATCCGCATGTAAGCAATCTAGCAATTTCTAACTTATCTGTCACATGTTATCTTGCAAATATTTACGTAAGTGCCATCCGATAAACAAGATATGTTTATCGAGGAGATAAATGGGGGGCTCCTCGTTCTTTTATACGAAGTATATTGGTTAGTATTCTAGCTAGTACGTAGATCGAATTCATTTGAACTAATTATTTTATTTCTCCAAATTCTTTCTAATCCCTTTTTTTCATTTCGTCGATAAGTTTTGAAAAAGATTTTAATGATTAAATACGGTACAAATTAAACACTAAAATAAAACTAAGAATGAAAATTGATCTACAATCTATATGAACAAGTGTCCTAATATACTTGATTGTATTTCAATGTTTTAGGTGTTGTTACTTATTATATATGCAAACTACTGATCATAGTTATAGTCTTTGTTTAAAATGTTAGTGTGAGTCTGAACTATACTCCCTCCGTTTTAAAATACTTTCTCCATTTTTTCATGCGTGGAATAATAAAAAATTATAAAAAAGTAAAAGTAGTGGAGAAGATTGGAGGAGAGAAAATATATGGTTGGTCCATTAGGTGAGAGAAATTAGTTAAATATTGTAAAAACTTTCCAAATAAAGAAACGGAGCAAGTATTTAAAAACAGACGATAAAGGAAAGTGGAGCGAGTATTTAAAAACGGATGGAGTACAAGTTATTTGACATTATATAGAGTTAAGGTAATAATTGGGGATTAAAGTTTTATACTTTTCACCTTTTGGGACCCGAAGTTTTTTCTTTCACCGTTTGGGACCTAAGAAAGAATTTTAAACAAATAAATTAACTATGGTTAAGCATTGGGACCCACTAATTATTTTAGGTTTAATTTATTTGTAAAGAGAATTTTTATTGGTTTCTGCAAAAAAAAAAAAAAAAAAAAAAAAAAAAAGAGTAACCGTGTTTACCCAAAAAAAATTAAAAAAAGGTGTCTTTTTAACTCTCATTGTTCATCAGAGTACTCCTTCATCATCAACCTCCCTTTGAAAAAAAAATTGAAGCTTTGAAGCTGATTTTAGTGCAGATAATTAGCGGTATATTAAGCATCTTAACACAATTCTACCTCAATCAAGTCATGCATTTGTACCAAGTCAGTCAAGTCATGGATCAAACACAAATCAATTAACACAACAAAGTTAATTGTACAATGGACCAACAAGGTTGTTCTAATTTCATTAAAATGCAAGGTAAGAAAACCATCTTCTTAATTCAATTATGCAACAACAAATTAATGCCGAAAGAACAAATACACAGAGTAGAAAAAAATTGAAATTTGTAAATTTTTCACTACATCTCCTGTTTGGCTGTTTCACCATTTCATACTTTTGATTGTAGGCTGAAACATTGGTTTTGGGAGAGCAAGAAAAGGGAATTTGGGGAAGAAAAAAAAAAACCAAAGTAAATATGATATGAAGAAAGCTTGCTGCTATTTTTGGATGTTGGAAGCTGCATGATGTTGTGGATGTTGGATGCTGTTGTTTTTGTTTTGAAATTTTGGATTGTGGTTTGCTATTTTAGTTTAAGGTAAAAAACTTGAACATAGAAGGCTTTTTTTTTTTTTTTTGCTTAAAAAATTCTATACCTAAAGTACCCGATGTTTTTTTGGTTTGGAATATATATATATATATATATATATATATATATATATATATATATATATATATATATATATATATATATATATATAACTCCAATTAATGCTCAAGTTGGTTAGTAAATTTTTCAGATGGGTTAAATGGCTTGAAATTTAACTACAGGTCCCAAACGGTGAAAAAAAAAGTTTAGGTCCCAAAAGGTGAAAAGTATAAAACTTTAGTCCCTAATTATTACCTTAACTACTCACATTTTATACAAGTTTTTGAAGATTTTAACTTTTGAAAGTTTAAAAAAGGAATTTTTGGCCTAGTCATTTCATATAAATTTTTGTAAAAATAATCATACAAGTATATTGTATAATGGATATGTATATCAATATTTGGGTTGATGGTCTCACGGTGAAACAGTCCGACTCACCCAATTTTGTGTGCAATATAATGGAAGTATGTCAATTATTAAGAGTTTATTCTTGCTTGCTGTGAATGATATTAACTTCCAGACTATATAAATGCATGGAAATTGCATGATATAAAAATTGAAGGTACATAAGAAAAAATGGCATCAAGCACCAATAATATCGAGTTGAGCAGCCAACAGAAAGCGGAGTTGGATGAGATGATCAAGGAAGCCGAAAACTCGTGTCTCTCGGACGAAATATTTACTCGTGTGATCGTGTTAGAAGGCTACTTATCAAAGAGTATATTATTACTAAGACCATTGAACCTTATTGATTCCAACCTATGGGCTGGAAACACTGCCAAAGACTATCCACATACTCTTGATGGTCCAATTAGTAGTACCTTTACACAAGCTTCTGTAAAGGATGATGGCATTATGGCGGCGGTGGTGTATGCCGGCAAGAACATTGTTGGCGTTGAATGTGGATGGCTTCTTGCTTGGGCCGACTCTAAGGCTAATGGAAAGAGGGTAAGTACACAAACATTCAATTTTATTTTACATTCATTTTATTCCATGATTTGGTCTTATGACATAGTATAAAACATATTTCTGGACCTGAACTGTCAGATAGATTTAGCGTTATCATCTTATAACTTATTTCAAATCGGATCACGTGGTATAAGAAAACTAAATGTTTTTTTTTTTGTTATGTAAATGGGGCAGCTTTACGCAGAGTGTGGTGACATAAGCAAATACAATTGCATCGACTGGGGATGTATTGAAGAAAAACTGAATAACTCAAAGAAATTGGCAATTATTGTTAGTGACCACGAAACTGGAACTTCGGTGCAAGCTACGCTGTCTGGCGTGGACTTTCCGTTGCAGACTCAAGACAAGCTTGGTGCAATCTTCTACGGCTAAACAAGCTCCCTACTAAGATTAACATAACAGTTTATTTGGACTGTGGATTACTCTGCTTGTTACTCTGTTACAGTACATTCTAATATATATTCGTATGATTTTTATTGAGGGGAATTATTTCTTATTTTCTTCTTGTAAGAAATGCAAGCGTCCATTTACATTGTATCATTCCTTGGTTTCTATATCCTTAGCTTGTTGCTAAATAAAAAAGCCCCCTCTTTCTTTTTCGTAAATGATTTTTTTTTTCTTTTTTCAAGAAGATATATACTTCCTCCGTTCTTTTATTATTGCACCACATGCCTAGGAAATTTCACAAATATTGCACCATTTCCATTTAAAGAAACAAAATATTTGTGTTCACACTGTAAATATCCAATATACTCTTACTTTTAACACTTGATTCTTTAATGTTTACATCACATGGCCTTATTTGTACTTTTACCCTTCTCTCTCCTCATTTTTCCCACAACCAAAAAATGTGAGCCAATATGTACGGTGCAATAATAAAAAAACGGAGGAAGTATAAATTTTGAGTTACATACAATTTAGTGAGACCGTGTAATTGAATCTCATCACTAACTGGCTAAAGGCTAAAGCTACAGTTGGTTTTTATAAAATACGCAGTATATGCTTTAATTACGTTGTATGTAACAATGTTGTTGTAAAGGTACAAAAAAAATTCAGCCTGTCTTGTGTGTGACTAAGCATACCGTGTGGCTACTCGTAAAAAAGCAAAATAATAATTATAAAACTGATCAAGTAATAACCGCTCTAATACTGACCGAGTAATCTCTATAACACTAACAACCCTATAACACTGATGAAGTAATCCCTATAATACTAACAGAGTAACCATATAACATAGACAAAATAACCCTTTTTATACCAAGTAACTAACTCTTATTATTCTAACGAAGTATGTAACCCCAATAACACATAATAATTTGTAAAGAATTTTATTTTGCTTCATCAATCTAGATAAAGATCATACGTGATAAATACTACACTAAACACTAATTAAGATAAAAAAAAAAATCAAGATTTAATTTGATTGACAAGATATAGTATAACAATTTTTTTTTTTTTTTCCGTACGTTGAAACATAATTGTAGACACCCATTTGTGTCTCCCCAAAACCAAACCCAGTGATCAGTACCTTTCAGGTCGAATCATAATCGAATAAAGTGAAAGTGTGGAAAGTTTAGTGTTTTAATTTATTTTCTCTTTTCTCTATTTTTGAAAACTTATTTTAAGAAAATAGTCAATCCAGTTTGGTTGGTCCATGATATGGGTCCAATAGTAGTGTAGTTGGATGGGGCTTGACAAGAGCTTTCCAACGATATATTATAAGCCCAATTCCGATGAATATTGAGGAAGTTATGGCCAATTTACTAAACTGGGCCCGGTTTGAGCCTTATATGCGGTCCAATGATCTAGGGGAGGGCTTAATATGATTTATCATTCCTTATGCAATTAGGAATGGTTTTAGTCTTCTAAATTCTTCTAGAAAGTTTTTTTCGTTCCTAATTCAATCAGCATTGATAAATTGACTTTTGTTGACATTTCAGAGTTTTAATTAAAATCAAAGAGCATTTTTGAGGGAAATACGATTTTATCCTCCTGTACGGAAATTTTTATCTGATTTTAAGAAAACGCGTGATTTCCGGAATCAGCGCCAAACGCCAGCTGTAGCGCCTGGCGCCAATGGCCAGCGTTGGCGCCAACTCAGTTTTATCTGCGCCAGACTCTGTTTTGATATTTTATCTTTTTGGTTGATTTTCTTTATAAATAACGTCGTAAAAAACTCCGTTTTCGATAACCATTTTTCACCTACAATAATCAATTATAACCAGTTCTCTTCTACAATCTACCAACTCTCATCAAGATTCTCTTGATTTCTCTCTCTTTTCTAAACTAGCTTCTCTCAAATATAAAAATTCCGCATTCATTAGATCTAGAAACACCTATCCATATTCGAAGTTGCCTTCGCCCTAGACGTGAAAGGTTTTAATTTCTGAGGGTTTGGTCCCAAATCTCTCTTTCAATTATTTGATTTAATTTAATTGTTTATTATTTTCCTTGAAGTTACTAACGTGTGTATTTTGTTATTAGAAAGAGGTATGAGGCATCAAAGTAAGTACTTTAATGGTTTTTATTGATGGTATGATACAGAGTTCATGCTTAGATTGTTATTATGATTCCTAGTATCATGTCTAGGGTAATTTTAATATCAAGTATGATTAAAAGTATGATGCTTCCTATGTTAGTTATTCCTAATATTTATGATTGTCAGTATCATGTTAGGGTTAAAGCTTTGATTTTTATTGCTTAGTGACATGCTAGGGTTTGTTATTAATCTTGTTAGTATCATGTCTAGGATCTTGCTATGCTTTAACATGATTATTATTATGATTAATATGATTGTTATTATGATGATTATTGTTTTGATTATTATTATGATTATTCTTTATGATTTATGATTATAATTGTTATAATTATTGTTATGATGATTATGATTGTTATGATTATAATTTTATTATGACGATTATCATTATGTTGCTTGATATATTTATTTTTATTGCTTGATCACGCCTTTTATGCATGTTTAAAGGGAATTGGTACTTGTAATCACGCTTAATAAGATAATTAATAATCTTGTTAGGGTTAATATGGTTATAATTCAAGTGATCGCCAATAATAGATTTATTTGTGCATTAAATTCAACTAACATAGATAAACAGGTTTAGGGTTAATCCTATTGATTGCATGTTAGTCAGAAAGTGCACATGAATACGATCAGAATAAAGTAGAGGCCTATTATTAGGGCAGGTTCAATCTCTTTTAGGTTGGATTTGTACCTTCATCCCTGAACCCTATTTGGTTCAAGACCTTATGGAGTTGACGATCTCTTTGATCGTTAAAGGGTGTAACCATAACCCTGTGAACGGTTTACATGCAAATTCCTAAAACTTGTTGGCGACTCTTTTGCTCTATCTTCTTCCCTTTTGGACGCCACCGTACTTTAGTGTATGATCACAGTGGGATTCAAGCTAGGGGTTAACGCTTGAAATTATTCCCTACAATAATTAAAAAACTTTCATTTGTTAAAATTTTAGACAAAGTCCTATAACACCGTGTGGTTGGCCATTGTGAGGGTTACTTCATGAATGGTATAGAGGTTACTCAATAAGTGTTATAGAGGTCAATTCGTCAGTGTTACAGGGGTTACTCGATTAACAGTGTTTTAGGGGTTATTCAATGAGTATTATACAAGAATTACTTAGTGTTATAAAAGTTACTTTGTTCTTTTACAAGCGGTCACATGATATGGTCAGTCACATACAAAACGTATTAAATATTTTATACTTGCTTACTTATGACGAAATCAATTATCTTATTCTAATTTAGTTTTTCTAAATATGTATTACATAGTATTCTATGTGAGAATACAACAGAACGTTCCCTAAGGCCCTGTTCTCTTCAGATTATTTTCATTTCAGTTCAGTTCAGTTCAGTTCTAATAAGTTCAGTTCATTTCTGTTTAGTTCAGCTTAGTTCTGTCAATCAGAATAGACCCTTACATAGACATATAGGTAGAATAAATAGATGTTTTAAAAATCTATTAAAAAGGTCATTTTAAGGGTAGAGTTTGTGGTAAACGTCTTTATATACAACTTGGTATTCACCCCATGTCTGATGTCTCCATCTAATTAGTGTATTTTTAAGACCTGAATATAATATTATATGCGAGTAATATTTATTGACATTAAGGTCATCTTATTTTATAAAGCATTTCATCATTTTTCTAAGTAAGATCTTTTTTTTTTTTTTTTTTGAAGTCTTTTAAATTAAATTTTCCTTATCAGTATATAGCTGGCGGTTTTCGTTTAATTATTTGTTTATGATATTTTTTGAGAATGGTTTAAATTTTTGATCTATGGATGGGCGGCTATGCGGCTAGCTATGCCCTTCTTCAACCCATATGAGAGATGTTCGACTCTAAAATATTTTTTAAACTTGCACCGTTTTTATTTTAATCTTTTTATTTACTATTTATATGGGCAAAGTTATAAAACTTTGATTGTGTTTTGTAGTTATGTTATAAGAAAAAAATATATATGTGAATATGTGATATTGCTATTAATATGAATTTGTTAATAATGTACTCGGGTCGGGTTTGATGAGGTCGGGTTATGGGTCTATTTCAAGGTTAAATCATGTGAATTTAATGCGTTCTTAACTTCTTACCAGTTGAAATCTGAATCGAATTTTATTGGATCTAGTTAGATGGGTTAGTTTTGACACCTAGTATGATATAAATCAATTACGTTAATAAAACCAAAATCTCATATGATGATATTAATTAGAACTGAATTTTGAAACTGTAAAGAATTGGTTTATACTAAGTATCATTGAAACTTTGAAAGCATGAATTCCCTAATGATTTGTGTAATTGTTGCAGAGAATAGAATATTAGCTAAATATATCTTGTTGTAAAAAAAATTACCTAAATATACAAATTTATACTTCAGCACTCCTCATCTATTTTTAAGTAGGGTGACCTACGCGCGCGATGCGTGTAAAGAAGTTAGTTCTTGTAGAGAAATTGTATTGGCGTGTATTTACGCCTTTAGTATGGGTGGTAGACCTTGCTAGTTTTAATGCGTACTGTTTGGTCTACGTATCTATGTGGTGACTTTGTAAAAGTATAAAAAAAAAGCCATTAAAATATTTTATGACAATTATTTTTTGAAACCCTCAAAAGTTTGACAATGTTATTTTAAAATTATTATTAAATAATATTTAATTGATTTGCATCCCTTCATATGTTAAACTATTGTTAGTGTAGAACTCTTAATTGATTTGCATGATTCAATAATATCTAGTGTGTTTTTCTTCAAATGAATTTTTTTGAGCTCTGGTCATACAGAGTAATAATATGTGAAATATTTGTTTTAGCTAAAAACTTAATTAACTAAGTTCTTTAATGTTCTACTTCCATCTAATATCTATATCTAATACTAAACCAGTAACTACTTAGTTATATTTTCCTCGTAAATTCTCTCCATAATTAATACTCCATACCAGTTTTTTTCCTTTCGATTTCCCTTGATTTAAGGATTTTTAAGATCTTTACATACACCTCTTGATTATATCTGCTTAAATATCACTATTTGACATGAATCTCATTCAAATTCCATAACATTATTTATGTGCCACCAAACAATACACA